AAATGATTTGTTTTTTTTTGGGGGGGGTGGGGGTGGGGGTGGGCTGGAGGGGTACTGGGGGAAGTAAGGTAGATGGGAGAAGAAAGGATGTTTGGCAAACTCAAACAATTACTTCAAGAATAATGAACAAATATTAAGGCCAAGTAAGTTGCCATAACTTGTCAATGGGGAACTCCTAAATCCAGGGTCTTGGAAGAACAACTCCACTATTTAGAAATCTGTTGAATAATTAAGGTAAATAACTGACCACTATAATCAACTAAGTTTCCATCAATTAAATTCCATCACAAAAATAAAGGTATTTATCAATACCTCTCAGTCCTAGAACGGAGAATAAAGAATTACAATGCTTTTTGACAATACTCTGCCCTAAATTATAGGTTAGCAAATTTAGCCTCCAGATTAAAGCCAGTAACAACACAGCCCACCCAGCATTCAGATCAGGGCTACAGACCTTAGCAACACCCTCTGCATAATGTGGTGCAACATCTGAAATACAAGAATAAGCCTGTGGGTAACAGCCCCCTGCTTTCAGTTTTCAGTGTCTGATGTCCCTTCCAGCCGAACCAATCAGACAAAAAACAAGCAAGCAGTTCTGAGCATTTCTGGAAAAAAAAGGAAAGCTGAAACCTGTTCTGATATTTACCTGGTTGAAAGACTTCATGACAGAAGTTCACTTTATACCTGTCTGAAACAGGTAGAATGTCACTCCTAGCCCTGGAGTATGGTCTTAACACCAAAACAGGAAGATACTACAGAGATTGAATGCCACAGAGGTTCTCAGTGATGTCTGTTTGCAATCATAACTCACAATCCCAGCCTTTCATTCCCCTCTCCTCTAAAGGAGTTTGACCATTTTAAAGAATGGTTGATACAGAAGCACAGAATGTTTGGGTTGGAAGGGACCTTAACAAGCTGACAGAAAACAAGCTTCAGAAGGAGCTGTACTGGTTAAGTCTGGTCCTTTGTCTGAATCGTTTAGCAGACACATGTGAAGAGAGTCTAGAAATTTTGCAGGAGGGAGATAAGAAAAGGGGGATGGAATTCAGATACCTTTTCACTTTAACCGGATATTAAGTCTCTGCCTACGTTCCAAGACCTTGTCTGTCCAAGAACCATTGAAGCCAACAGTAAAATGGAGGTGGGTATTCACATCACCTACTTAAAGCAGCTAATTTCAAGGCCTCAGTTAAAAGCCAGCTCTCTCCAGTCAATCAAGAACAGTTTTCCTTCCTCCAGCTGGCCAGCTGGAGGAGATGGCTCATAGTCATAGAAGACTGAGTGTCCTAATTTAAGCTATAGAAGTTAGATGTGTGGTGATGGTTGTTAATTTCAAGAAGTGCACAGCATAATCTGAGGTCAGCAGCAACTTCTCTGTTGCACAGCTTTTTTAAGTATTGCTCTTTTCTTCACCTCTTCCTACCTTTACCATGATTAGGACAGGTAAGAAGGGGAACAAGGCAGGGATAAAGGTAAAATTAGCAACAGTACTTGTAAATATACAATTCTGATTTTCATCTACTTTATTAGGCTCTCTTTGCAAGCT